GAATACTTTTTGTACGCGAAGAAAACAAAAATAACGACTTTATTCAACAATTCATCTCCTCTTTGTCTCTCCGCATCACTGTAGCGCCATTTTGGAGAATAACCTGAACGCAAGCAGCGTACGCTCTTCTGTGTCAGCCGCGCTGCACGGATGCGCTGTTTTTGTTCAAATCAAAGCGTAAATACACGTAGAAAACGTATCCTTGTGTCGCGGCTGACACAGAATAGCGTACGCTGCTTGCGTTCAGTGGTTATTCTCCAAAATGGCGCTACAGTGATGCGGAGAAACGCAGAGGAGATCGGTATTATTGTTTTCTTCGCGTACAAAAAGTATTCTCGTCGCTTCATAACGTTACGGTTGAACCACTGATGGCAGATGGACTATTCTGACGATGTCTTTCATACTTTTCTGGACCTTGACAGTGTAATTTACTTGGTAGTCAATGGGACAGTCACAAGCCTCCTGGTTTTCAGGGGTTTGGAACGACATGGGGGTAAGTGATTAATGACAACATTTTCATTTTGGGGTGGAGTATCCCTTTAAGAAGATGGATTTCATGATTCCACATATTAAAGATCAAAAATAATGCTAATGACAACATTTTCATTTTGGGGTGGAGTATCCCTTTAAGAAGATGGGTTTCATGATTCCACATATTAAAGGTCAAAAATAATGACGTTTATTGAAATAATTCATGTTTTTTGTGTGTATAATACCATAATGCTGGTTCAGTGTAGAGGATGTCTATTTTATATTGCATTAACAAACTAGTAGCCTAAGAATGCATTCACAGTTCACTGTAACATGAACAACAGCAATAGGAGTGAACACATACACTATAGCTGAGTAGTGTTCATTGATTTGATTGACGCTGCCATGTGTATTTAGCTAGATATTAGGATGTACTTAAAACTCTTCGATTGTGTCTGTCTCTTGTCCTTAAATTAATCATCTCCTACCTTTTTATTCAGTGTTACTAATATTTTCCATGTTTTTTTCTGTTGTGACCATTATCATTTAAGGAAAACTGTCCTCTTTATTTCTTTTAATTCTTCCAGATACATTAATCACAGTAGTTAGCCGTGTGCTAGAGACTTGGGGCAAGACATCATCACCCCATCATTTAGTTTGCTGAAAGGCTGTTTGCTAATGTAGTGATGGATTACTTAAGTCCATGCTGTCATCTGAGGGACTGGGAGGGATAATATTTGTCCATTTGTCTCTTCAAGCGGGTATTTATAAACAGAAAATACATTGGAAGGCCACTCAGACTCCCAAACCCAGTAATGAAACCGAAGGCGATAGCCATGCAGAGTGTTATTCATTTGTTTACCCTTTTAATAAACAAGATCATTATTGAGCTTATCGGACTCTCCCTTTCTTTCCTTGGCCACAAAGGATAAAATGATACATGTCCAGATAAACGCTGAGGAATTACAATGGGCATTTTGTGCTGAAATCAATACAACTGTCTTCTGTAAATAGAGACGGCCTTTCTAAAAGAATAAAGAGGTTTTGTTTGTTCCTCTACAGGGATGTGACTGACAACACTGATAATTGCCTTATGTTTTATATGATATTTCAGCCCAATGAAACATTTTTCTGCTTGTTTAGATCAGGCTTGGTATTAAAATTCCTCTTTGAGTGTGCTGCTCATCGCTTTCACATATAGACTATATAGATTCTTTCAAGGGCTCATTTCATGAGGAATCAAATTTTTCTTGAACTTTGGAGATTAAAGTGTTCGTTCTGTAAATTTCAGAACTTCCTCCCCAGTGAAAAAGGACAATTTATTGTAACGGGGCTGCAAAAAATAGCTCATTCTTTAACTTTCTTTTGGGGTCAGTAAGATTTTTTTAAATGTGGTTTTAAAAAGTCTTTTATGCTCACCAAAGCCTCATTTATCTGATCAGAAATATAGTATAAACTGTAATATGTGACCCTGGACCACAAAACCAGTCATAAGGGTCAATTTTTTTAAATAAGCTTTCCATTGATGTATGGTTTGTTAGGATAGGACAATATTTGGCCGAGATACAACTATTTGAAAATCTGGAATCTGAGGGTGCAAAAAAATCAAAATATTGAGAAAATCGCCTTTAAAGTTGTCCAAATTATATATTTACAGTAGGAAATTTACAAAATATCTTCATGGAACATGATCTTTACTTAATGTCCTAATGATTTTTTGGCATAAAAGAAAAATCTATAATTTTGACCCATACAATGTATTTTTGGCTATTGCTACAAATATACCCCAGCGACTTAAGACTGGTTTTGTGGTCCAGGGTCACATATTGTGAAATATTATAAATAAATATTATTTAAAACAATATTTTTTTAATTAAGTTGTAAAAATTTGAAATAGTTTTCTCTTTTTATGTATTTTCAAATGTAATTAAATTCTCTGTTGGCACCACTGAATTTTCAGCAGCCATTACACCAAATCTTCAGTGTCACATGATACTTCAGAAATCATTCTAATATGCTGATATGCTTTAGAAAGGTTTCAAAACAAAACAGTTGTGCTGCTTAATGTTTTTTGGAAATTGTGATAAAAAAATTATTTGATTAATATAAAGTTCAAATTAACTGCATTTATTTGATTTTGATTTTTTTTAACTATTGAATGGAAGGCTTATATTAACCAAACTTTCCTTGATCATTGAAGATTAAAGTGTTCATTTAGTAAATTTAAGAACTTCATCCCTAGTGAGAAAAGACCATTTACTAAAACGGAGCGGCAAAAATGACTGGTTCTGTACTTCCACAACTTTCTGATGTCAGGCAGATTACTTTATTTTAACACATGCACATGTGACCACCCACATGTACACTATGTCAATGATGCCTATTCAGTCAAGGTGGGGTAATGTAGAGGAAGTAAGATTGGTTCTATCTGTGTTGAGCTGTTTTGTTTTGATCCTGTCAGAATGTAATGCAGGCTTTGCATAGAGCCTGCTTTGAAGAATGGAGCTGTTAAAAAATTGCTTAGAGCTAAAAGCAAACCTGCAGTTCACAAATAAATGTTTCTAATTTCACGTGCAAATAGGGCATTTGCACTGAAGGGAGAGCAGTAACTACTTAAAAATAATAACAATAAAATATATAAAAATATACACAACTTTTTAAACATTCTAACAACTGGACATTATGAAAAAATTAAAACGGGTAGAAATAAAAATATATAAAAAAAATTAATGATATAATATGACCTGATAAATCTTTAAACTGATTTTTAAACTTTAACTTGGATTTGTTTTCTGTATATTATAATTATTATATTATGTTACTATATATTGTGTATGGAATTGATGGATGTAGCTGGATAGGGTTACTGTTATGAGTGTAGTTATAATTAGATTCCTGAAAGTTGGTATGATAGTTGGGTGTGTAACCCTAAAATTTTTGTCTGCTGACTAGTTGACTGGCTGTTTTAGCTGTGTAAGGCTTGGTCTTTGTGTGTGTGTGTGTGTGTGTGTGTGTGTGTGTGTGTGTGTGTTTGTTTGTATAATAAATGGCTTATTTTGTTTTTGTGAGTTTTGATACTATATTAGTTAGAATGTATTGATTTGCACTGTGTAACCCTAAACTATATGCATATTTATATGATAAATTACTTGTTTTGTTTGTGCATGTTTTGCTACTTTATTAATTAGGATATGTTGATTTGCGCTGACTTATTCTACAGTTCTATATATATATGCATTACATAACTATGTAAATTTGGTTCTGTGTTTACAATGACAAATGATGTAAAAATAGCTGTAAATATGTGTTTAATTGTGTTTTAGCAGTGAGCACTAACTCATTTTTTTCTCGCTGTTTTGTTGGATTCAGGGCTTAAAAAGCAGCTCTTCAGAGCCACATACTGGATGAGTCCAAGCCTTACTTCCATGATAAGCATAGTTGTTTTTCAATCTTTTTTATTACAGATTTCTTTTTTCAGATTTGATCACTTTAAGTTTTCAAAGACAGTGTCACATGTGTATAAACCTCTGTTTGTGTTTGAAGGCATGGAAGTGAGAGCGTGGGCTCCAGGGAGTTTTATAAATTTGTGACAGACAGATTGCCTACCCATGTCAGCAATGACCTTCTAGATCATGTAGATGCATTAATGGGGGTGAAACAGCCGTCTGATTAGACATTATGGACCTATTTGCATTCATAACATAATTATGTATTCATCAGTGAGAGTAATTCATTTAAAACCAGTTACGATGTTTTAAGTAAATAAGACCTATCAGTTGTGTCAGTTCTTAAAACGTATATTTTCCAAGCGTTGCAACTAATCGATTAGTATTAGAAACTAACCGATTAAGTTAGTATATATACTAAGTATATATACACATCCATTCAAAAGTATGGGGTATAGATTTTTTTTTTCTTTTTAAGAAATTATGACTGTTATTCAGCAAGGATGCGTTGATTAGATCAAGTGACAGTAAAGACATTTATAATACTGCAAAAGATTTATATTCCGAATAAATGCTGTTCTTTTGAACTTTGTAATGTAATGTTTGTCTTTTTAAATTGTAATGCTTCACAATATTTTTGTTTTTCATCAAATAAATGCATCCTTGATGAGCATAAGAGACTTCTTTCAAAAACATTAAAAATGTTACCAACCCCAGACTTTTGAACGGTAGTGTTTATGTGTGTATGTATACACACACCACTGTATTTTTTTATTATTATTTATCAACATTTTCAGGACAAATATGAATACTTGTATACAGGGGCGTCATGCACTAA